CGGGGCCGGCCGAGCCTTGCCTGCGCCCTGGCTGCAGCAGGGGAAGGGTGCTGGTGTGCAGTTCTCAAGGCGCGCGTTTGTCGTGTTGATAAAAAAGTTTGAAAGGATTTTTCCTTTTTATGTAACCTTTGGGTTTGTTTTTTTCCTTTTAGCTTCTCTGACGGGCGGTGTAAAACTTCATTTTACCCCTTCAGAATGTCTAAGGGATGAAAAAAGAGCTCTTGCTATCAGTCAGAGTGTATAAAACCGGGTAGCAAAAGCACCAGCGTGTTCTGGTGCTGTCAGTAACCATCTTCAGGCGTGTTTACGGATGGACGCAGTCATAAGATATGATAGTTTTGTCAATATTCATTTATATTTAAATCATCATTTCAACTTGTCAAGTCCGCCTTCTGCTCTGTGAAAGATAAAGGTGATCTAAGACTATGTTCCGTTTATGTGCAATGTTTGCTGTATTGCTGAAGTTTTAAGTTGTTTATTGAGTCACTTCAGCATTGTTTTCATTCTAGCAAGATTTTGATGAACTGCCTTTTTTGTGGAATTACTGCTAGGAGTAAGTTTTGTAACGCAAGGTAGTACCTCTGTGAACAAGTTTTGGTATTGATGTGGGATCACCCCAGATCGTATGTTTTTTTTGTGTGGTTGCAACTATATTGAACCACTTTTAAATAATTTCAACAATCAGTTTAAAGATTCACTTCCCAGAAGCTGGGACATCTCTTGCAGGTAACTGTACTATGAAGAGTAATTGACTTTTCTTTTTGTAGGATGGATACTCACAGTTATCAGCTTATGAAAGGAAAAGACTAAAGAACATTACAGAAAACGCTAAATTCTTTGCTGCTTTAAAGCTGCATGAGGTTTGTATAGATTCTAAGTAGCATCAAAATGTGTAATAATTGTACTGTCAACCCTCTGGTTGTGAAACCCTTGCCTTACGGTGGCAGGTGTGTGAGGAAAGCCATGACAGCTTCCTGAGACATCAGGACTGCTTTGACTGGATTAAAAAATGGGGGTTTGTGCTGCTAGCTAGCTTTTTCCAGAGGGGAAGCCATTGGTTAAGCTTACAGAAAGTGAAGAAAGCAAAACTTGGCTCGTACGGCATTCTGTGCTGGCAGCGCCCGGCCGTGCTCGAGCCCGTGGTCCCAGAGCTGCCGCCGACCCAGCAGCACGGGTTGGGGCGGCCCTGGGGTAAAAGGCACCCGTGGAGGTGCTCGCCTCTGCCTTCCGGGCAGCGTGTGTGCGGTAGGTGCAGCGTCCTGCTGGGTTGTGTAAGGTGTGCTCCCTCCCCTGCCCCTGCGCCGCGGAGGGCATTCGGCTCCTGCATTTCAGGTTCGCTGGTTATCTAACGGGAGGGCGGCGGGGAGGCAGGTCTCGGGCTGTCGGGAGGGTTCAGCTCACCGCCCCGTGCTTGAGAGGCTCTTGGGAAGGGCCCGCAGGGAGGGTGCTGCTGGAGTCCTTCCCCGCGCTGTGTCTGGTCTGGGTGGACACAAGTGTGTTATAATTCTTCTGGTGTTGGAGAAGTTGTCTAGGAGATTGAGGCAGTGGAATTTCAAATGCTGTCGCATGAGTAGATCCAAATCTTTATCCTTCTTTCTGCACTCTTTCATTCCCTTACATTATTTTTATTTATTTTTTTTTAAACTCATAATGTATCCCTTTTCTGGCAGCAGTGAGTGAATTACCTCCTTGAATGGCTGCATCCTTGCTTGCTCATTATACCAGGCTGCAAGACATGGTTGGGCCTGTCTAGTAGGCGGTCAGACTCCTTACCACCAAGAGTGAAACTTGAGTAAAAATAGTGCCTTTTCTTCCAGTTATCCTCAGCGAGGTCAGTAAAGACTAGGCAGTCTGACTGTAGTCACAGCACTGACCACAGAGTAGTGAAGACTAGCAAAAGGAGCTGTAGCCGTCTCGGTTGCCGTTAGCACTGGCCAGTATGGGCTGGCAAACCCAAGCAGCAGGTAAATCTTCTCATGCCAGGCCTCGTGTGCTTTGGCCAGGGTAGTAGCGGAGCAGTGGTCTTATCCGGACGTTCCTAAACTTTTCTGAAGTCCAAATGAGCTAAACGTCTGTCTTCAAAATGTAATGGAGAAGACACTGCGAATGGAGGCCTCGGTGGTTACCGATTCTACTTTGAATGTCTTTCTGTGTCTGGCGCGTAGCATTAGAAGGTTTTCTTTGTTCCGTGAAGAGAAGGGCTGCAGAACGTTCGGGCGGTGCTGGGCTCCTGCGTGCCGTTCACAGAAATCAGGGAATTCGATGCTTAAAAATCCCTTTTTGCTATTGTTATAAATAATTGCGATGTAGTTTATTGCAACCTTTAGATAGTTGTATTTTATACAGGTTAATCTTTTTTCCTTGTTATATATATTTTTAATCTTTTTTTTTTTTCTTTTTAAGTCAGCTGCAAGACTTCAACAAATTGCAGCTAAACCGCAATCTCATGTCACCAAAAGGTAAAATAACTGTATATGAGATTTGTATCACTGTTCCTTCATTGTGTGTTAGCTGGTGTAGCACTTCCACCTGCACATACCTGATACTGCGAAGAGCGTGAGCTAGTGAGGAGTCTCCCTGTAAAGCTAAATCGGAATAACTGATTATCTTAAGCTGTTTGACTTGATGAATGGGTAGCTCCTCTAGGTAGTGCCTCTCCTCTGCCATCCTTTGGAAAGAAAATGGCAGTATTAATATCTTTTCTGTCAAATTACAGAATTTGTTCTTTTTGTGATGTTTATATTGAGGTATTTCAAGGACATTTCTTTTTTCTTGATGATATTTGGCATGATGGCTAAAGAAAGAAAGAAATGATAAAAACAAATGATGGGAAAAGGTGTGGGAAAGAGAGGGGGAGAACTAGATGCAAGAGATAGTGTAACCAATTAGCGTAGAAGACATTTGGCAGTGCCAAAACAGTGCCGGGCAAAGCAGAAAAATGAGCTTAAGTCCAAATAAAGAATAAGATACACGATGAAGGAAAGTGGAAAAAGATGACTAGATGAGTGAGCGGAAGGATGAATTATAAATAAGGAGGGTTGGGAAGAGAAGCGACAGTGGCAGGATGTATTACAAGCACAATAAAAACGCACTACATACATATGCATTGTAAAGTGCTCTTTTTGTTCGTTGCTATCACTGAAGGAAGAGTAATCGCAACCCTCCTAGAGGGAATCGGAACTAGTTAGGCTGTAGGGCTGTGCCACAGCGTTAGAGCTGTACATCTGAACCTACTATGTAGTCTGGTACTTAAATGCAGAGGACTTAAGTTATTTAACTGTGTCTGTAAGTTTGAAATGTTTGAATTGTTCTAGAGCTAAGCCTAAGAAGGCAGAAGATGAAACAATACGGCGAAGATCTATGCGCTTGCAAAGAGTAGCACCGTCTGGAATTCCAATGTTGGAGATGCCTGCCCAGCCGGGAGCAGAGGAATATGTGAGATGGGGCAGGGTTGGAGGAGGGGGGTGGGTGTATACACAGCAGCTTTATAAAAAAGGTGCTGGTGAAGTTGACTGATGATACTTGTTATTGCTGAGCTTCCTGTAAAAACCTCTAGACATTTGGGAAGGTGCGTTATGCAGTGGAAATAATAAAAGGTAAATTCTTTCACCCTCAAGCATCTTGAATAGCAGGCTTCCCATGTCCTCTCTGAAAGTTAGTCAATGTTCTGTGACTCAGGTTGATGAACTAACACAGGTTTGGATGATCAGAAGGGTCCTGAGGTAAAACGTTACGCATTTTTCAACAACCCATAGCTTTGAGCAGCTTTGAAATTCAAAGTTTTATCACTCTGTTTTAATGTTATTTCACTGTAACTTTTGATCTGGTTTATTTTCCTTTGAAATATTTACTATCTTTTTGAAGTACTGATGTAGCAACAAGTAAAAATTCTATTGCTCTGAGAAATGGGGATTTAAATCTTCCATGGTGCTGTAGAATAAAGCTAAATCTCTGTAACACAGTTCTTGAAGATCGACCTTGCTGGAGTATCAGAAAGGAGAGGAAAAAACATAGGGTAGCTATTTGTCTTTGCTGTTGTGTGCAGTAAAGTTCTATTTATCTTTTTAATAAGATGTCGATACAAACATTTTTTTTTAATATTTATTTCTTGTATTATTGTAGATGTGTTCTCAGAATATCTGGCCTGTGGAAGGTAACAATTCACCGTATTTGTAATTTTAGTTCTTTTGAGTTACGAAAATTGCTAATGTCATTCCAGCCTCAAGTTCCAGCCGGACCTTTGCCAATGGTTCCAGAAGATCAGATGGGGAGCAGCAAATTGACAGAGGGCTTATTGTCTACATGGATGAGGATAAGTGAGGTATTATTAGTTATAATTAGTGATTTTTGGATAACATCATTTAGCTTGGGTTCTAATTCTAATGAATGTTTCCTTTCTATCTGTAGATGAAAGCTAATGATACCGAAAAGCGTACGTGTGACATGGAAAGGTAATCTGAAGACAGCAGCTAAAAACTGGGTATTGTCTTGTTCTCCTTTTTAACTCTCTTGGATAGCTAACGTTTTACTGATGTTGTCTAGGTACCTAGACAGCCTGAACAGCATGGTCCTCAGTGAAGATAACATTAAAAAGGTTGTGAAATACCGAGTGTGTTCTATGGCTATCCATCCTTCTGAAAGCATCATCTTTGTGGCAGCTGGAGACAAGTCCGGGCAGATCGGTCTCTGGAATGTGGTGAGTTGTTTGTGTGCTCCTCACCTGCCGGAGCTGTTTGTTGCAGGATGGATGCAGATGGGGCGCAGCCCGGAGCATCATTTTGTCAGGCTTGTGATGGTATTTTAGGCTTTCCACACTATTACAGCTAACACCAGGGTGTCTGTTGAGGCTCGCCAGAATTGCTTGAAAAGTCTGTCTGGTCCTTGGCAAGCCCGGGTTTAATGGGAGGAAAGGTTGCACTGGTAATTTTTGGGAGCAGAGCGGAAGAAAATGGATCGCTGGCTGAAATAATATTATCAGTAAGGGTTAAAATCGCAATTCAGATTGAATTCAAATTGAGAGATTCAGGTTCTAATTACAGTACCCTTGTAGCAATACCACAGCTAGGTTTTGGAGAGAGAGGGGAAATGGATGCTCCAGTATTTGGGTTTTGAGCTTGAGTTACAAATTTTGGGTAACTGCTGTGAGTCACTGTTGTTCCAGACAGCAGAGATAAAATTGCTGTGCCAATATATGTGCTGGCACATACTTACATACATTGTCTCTGAAAAATAGCACAGCATTTGGTGCTTTGAAAACTTTTGGGGGTTTTGCTGATAGTCTCACCATCGGTTCTGAATTGCCTTAATTACTCCTGCAGCAAGAATCCTCATTCATGCCCTTGGCTTACACCTTTGTAACCTCCCCCCGCACTCTCTGCTTTGATCCCACCTCGTCCAAGCCAGCTGCTTGAAGTTCACACACACGCAGGTTTTCTTTTCCTTTTTTGCAATACCGTTAACCTCTGGAGTTTCGAGTCATTTCTGCTTTGACAGCATCAGGAAACTGATCGCCTAAATTCATCTCTGAGACTTGTACTCAATTGTAAAGAAGTTTAAAGTGCTCCATAGAGTTTAGAAGGCTCTGACAGCAGCTGCGGTTGCTGCCTGTCGAAGAGTGTGATCTGGTGATGGGGAGGCTGAGGTCTCCGAGCGCTGCAGGCTCTCTTTGTGGCCTTGCAAAGAAATTTCAGTGGAAGCCTAGAATTGTTAAAGCTTCTCTTTTTCCCTTTTGCTCTCTCTTTTTTTGTTTTCCTGAAGTGAGTTGGAGTTGACCAAGTTTGGGAGCAGAGTAATCTTTGTGGAATGAACCGGTACCTGTTCCAAAATGGTCTATTCAGTTTCTTTTAAAAGAACAGAGCTTGAATGATGCCAAAATTAGAAGAGAAGATACAGGAGATGACACTTTACATTCACTTTGGGTCACTATAATTCATCTTGAGTTCTAAGTAACCTAATACATACCTATTTTGATGTAAAAGGCGTACGCATACATTTGGTCCTCACCAGGTGTTCAGCTGCGGTAACTGAGAAGCCAGTTCTGTCAGTGAAAACGCGTGATGAGCAGATACAGTATTGACAACTGAAGTGCACTTAAATTGCAGCAGGAAGTTGCAGCTTTTCCTGATTGGGAAACAGAATTCTGAAACAGAGAGTAAATTCTTGGTGCCTTTTTGAGCTAAGTTACTTGTACAGTGGTGAAAATGGTAGCGGGAGGGAGGCTGTAGCCTAGCAGTGCTGTGTTGAGCAGACTGAGAACATTTGAAAAACAAAGACTTTGAAAGTGGCAGTAATTACTAGGAATAACTACAGCGATTAGGATCTGTGTCCACTGAATCTCAATTGTTTTTCAGAACTGTAAGTCTGAAGAAGGAGCACATGTCTTTATGCCACACAATTATCTGGTCAGCTGCATGCATTTTTCTCCGTTTAATCCTGCTCACTTGCTGTCTCTAAGCAGTGAGAGTCTGCGATGTGGTGATGTTACCAGAGCTGTCTTTGATGAGGTGAGTGCTCCCGCGCTTGTGCTGCAGACTCCTTGGAAATCTCTTGGTACGCGCTGCGGTGAAGTTTGAGTCTCCTTGTACCCAACTCATTATTTGTGGGTTGTTTTGTTAACAAGAAAGTTCAAGATTCTATTTCCACAAGGGCACATGAAGTAATCTTTAATTAACATCATAAAAATATGGAGATGCTTCCTACTCAATAAAACATAGTAACAGTTTGGGTACTCCCAATTTCACTCCTGCAGAGACAGTTGCAATTATTGAATTTAATTTCATATCTCCATACCTAAGCAGTATGTGCCTCTTTTCAAAAGCATTACCTTTTAACGATGACAAACAAGAACGATTTGAAGAACTAAATCTTACAAAAAAAAACCCCACCCAGATAAACATTGTAAAACAACATGAAGCATGAGCTGACTTTGCTTTTCTCAGGCTTCAAGTGAGCAAAATGACTGTCTCCGCAGTGAGCCAGACAGCTTAACTGAGGAGCTTCGTGATGCTTGCTTTGTTTACTTGTTTTTGACAGCTACATCTGCATTGATCAGCTCTGCAACACTGCAAAATAAAACAAGTTACAACAGTTTAAAGATTTTTTCCCCCAGCCCTTACAGGCACCCTAGTTTTGGTGGGGCTGCAGGCGGGCCAGCTGTCCGGGAAGAATCTGCAAGTGTTTGGTCAAGAGGCCAGGAAGGTCCAGGGGGGCTCTTTCTGGGAGACCAGTGCTTGCAAGGATGTGCCTTTAGAGGTTGGGGGAAGAGAAATGCCCTTCTGCTCCGCTTACCTTATGCTGACTTACACAGCCTTGTGATGCCTTTAGGAGTATTACTGCCATTGGAAAGAATACAGCTGCAAGTGGGGAGAGCCTGCACACCTAGAGAGAGCTGGAATATCGAAGCTTTCCTGCAGCGTTATTATACTTGCAGCTAGCTGCTGCTTTGAGAGGAAAGTACCATGGGATAAGATGGTTTGACATCCCAACTCTGCTCTCCCAAATTATAGGGAGCCAAATTCACATTTCTGCACCCGATTAAAGTTTTCTGTAGCATTGAAGAAAGGAACGGTATCGGTAATCCTCCCTCAGTATGCACTCAAGGATACCGGCCATTTGATTACTGGAACATAGAGGTGACAGTGTCTTGCAAGAGTTGTAACAGAGAATTCAGAGTATGTTGTTGCCAGTTGGTTTTGGGTGGTTAATTACCTCCCCTGTGGAAGGCATACCAGTTTTACAGAAAGATTAGCTACATGGATAGCTAAGGCTGGAGCTATCAAATTAGGTAGTCTTCATTAGTATTTTTAGTATCTTAGAAAGGGAAAGCGTGAAATCTACAGCCCATGGAGTGTTTTGGGTATTAGGAATAACTCTCTCTATGTCATGGAATAGTTTCGGTTACATTTGACCTTTTCTGACCTTTCAGATATGCAGAAGTGAAGAAAGCTTATCTTCCTTTGACTTTTTGGAAGATAATGCCTCCACTGCAATAGTAGGACACTGGGATGGCAACGTCGCTGTTGTGGACAGACGGACGCCAGGAACATCTTCAGAGCTTGATGCAGACATTGGCTTCAAAAGAACAAGGACAGTCCATGTTCACCCCGTGAATAAGCAATATTTCGTTGCTGCTGGCTCAGTGTATGTAGCTCAAAATGAACTGCAGTTGTTCTGGGTTTTCACTGTTCTACCTGCATTGGTGTCTGAAGGCAGCTATAAATGGCACGTTCGGAGGGCAGGAGCCACTGTTGATGGGGCAACCAATTTGTCAGCCTCAGTGTATAGTCAAAGCTTTCTTGATCTTTTTAGAAAACAAGATTTTAGTTCTTAGCAGGATTTAAAATGTGATACACTTTGACTTCCCTTCACCTTTTGGTAATGGGTATAGAATGGTCTTACGAGTTACCGTGTTTTTTGAGGGATCGCAGTGTAGAGGGATTTTAATGAGCTCTTGGTTTGGGCTAGTTTTGGTGCTCTCAAAATCCTTTGGAGTCGCTGGTCATTTGAGTGAATACGCACTGCTGAAGTGACGTTCTAAATGCAGCTCACATAAAACCTGCAGTGTCTCTTGAGTGTTTTTTGGTAAATGGAGAATAAGAACAATTATTTAACTGTCACCTTGTAAAGTGGTCCGTGTGGTATGTGTTGCAGGGATGTTTGTATTTATGATGTTCGATACCTGAAGTCTAGTGGGAACAAGCCTGTGAGCTCTCTTAAAGGACACACAAAAAGTGTTGCTTCTGCGTATTTCTCGCCTGTAACGGGGAAGCGAGTAGTGACGGTGTGTGCTGATGATAATCTGAGGTAAGACAGGGTGCAAGGAATGATCTTTATGGAAAATGTCAGCTGTTGTGGTTTTTTTTTGTTATTTCCTATCTGCATTACCCATCATTGAGAGCTTTCTGTCTTTATCACTTTTTACAAAAGGGGAATATCACAAAAGGGATAAAGATTTACTTGCATTGGCATTTTTAATGTTGTTTTTAATGATTATTTTTTTCTGAAGAGTATTTAACAGTGAACAGTAAAATACACAAGTACTGTTAGTCTTTAAAAAAACAAACAAACAAAACAAAACAGAACAAAAAACCCTGAAACCAACCAAGCAAGAACCAGCCAAAAACCTGGCTCATGAATACGGATACAAAATGCTTAGAAACTGAATTTATTTTTAGCTGCTGCTGCTTAAAATTATGATAATATCAGCTCTTTTGTAACTAGTCTACTATTTGATAATTTAAGCTGCTGTGAGTTGTGTTGTGTTAGAGAGAGAGTTTTTTTCTACTTTGTAGTTTTGTGACCATGATTTAAGTAATCTATTAATGTAAGTATCTGATTGCATCTGGATATTCACCATGGACATGTGTAGAAGTCTTAAACTGTATCTAAGCATAGCAGGTACAAAGCGGGGGGTGGGGGGCAATTAAGGCCAGGTTGAAAACCAGGCCTCTACAGCTTGCCTGTGTTATTAAAAGATGGGGTGCATTCTGGGGAGTTGTTGCAGCATTGTATGTTTTGTCTGGAAATCTGATTTTCTTTCTGTCCCTTCCACATAGACAGGGAAGAGTTCCTTTGTGAGAGTTCTGTGTTGCTGTAATGCTTTCTTTCCTCTGATGTATTTACTATATATAATTGAAGATTTGTTCTCTGTAGTAAGCTTGGTTATGAAAATTGTAAATCCGTGGCACTAACAGAACAAGCATCAGAGTACAAAATGGAGATGAATAAACCAGGGTATTTGTGCTCGACAGAATGGAGAAAACAGATACAGGTTCATTTATTTGCTGCCTCCTCTAAATTAAAAAGAAAGCAGGTTTTTACTCAGCAGTTCGTTGAACTTTTTGCCCTGGGCAGGGTGGGATCCTAAACATTTACCCGGGGTGAAGGAGAGCCCAGAATGGGAGATTGTTGATGGTTTCTGTCAGCCGAGCTCACCCTGCCTGAGGAGGTCCTGGCACTGGACGGCGCTAATGGTGGGGTTTCACTCTTGCATCTGTTTTCCCGTCTCTTGTGTTCTTCCCTGGGCAGCCTGTTTGTGGGGTGACTGAGTGGACGGGAGAGGATACTGGGCTGGAGGAGCCCCTCGTCCGTCCTCGCAAGCCGTTCGTAGAATCGTAGAATGGTTTGGGTTGGAAGGGACCTTAAAGAACCTAAAGTTCCACCTGCCCTGCCATGGGGGGTTCTCATTCTTGTATTGCTCTCTTTCTGTAACAGTTTTCAGAAAGGATGACCATCAATTCTAGCTAAAAGCAAATCCAATTAAAAAGGCAAATGTTATAATTTCTGTTGGAATATTGGTGCTTCTATTTGAGCTGGATGTCTCTGTGCTGTTTGTTGCTATATTCCAGAATCTCGTGTGGTCTGGCCTGCACCGATCTGTACTCTGTGAGGAAAGGACTGCCTTTTTTAGCACATGTACCTTACCAATGCACTGTTCTGTGTTACAGGGTCTATGACACCACCTCTTTGTCTTCCACGGTCGCAGCCCTGAGTACTATCAGGTAAGCTGCGCGCCCTGGGGCTGAGGAGCATGCTGCAGCCGGTCTGCTGTGGCAGGAGCGACCGGGGCGCGGAGGCTCTGCCGTGTTGGGTTTCCCACCGGCCTGGGGGGTCACTGGCAGCTGTGGGAGATCAGCCCTGGGACCCTCCTAGCCTGGGAATTTGCCCTTGTGGGTGCCTGCAGTGGCTTTTGTTCATAAAGCACGACTGGGGCATAGCTGCTTTAGGTTGATAAAGTCTACAGGGAAGCTTTCATGTCTTCCTGTGTACCCAGAACAGACCGTTTTGTGGCTTTTGAAATGTGTTTTGTTTCAGAATGCTTTTTCTTTGTGTGCTTTTTTAAGTATCAAAGGTTACTACGTAAGGGTAAATCCCATGTTTTGGGTAGAGTCTCAACACTTGTAAAAGCCCTTTGTGCTCCAGAAGGTGAATCATTGTCAGGGTTGGTTTGCCAAGGAGCCGGAACTGGATGAGCAACTGGCTTGAAAATTCTTAGTTTGCGGTTTATCGAAAGGCTTGATGCACGTTTGTCCTATTTTTACTAAAATAGACAACCATGAAACATCACTGCTTTGGCTAATAATCAGTTATGTCAAAATACCCTCTGCTTCATCTTCCTGCTCCCTTAGATTTCTTTGTCCCATCCCACGCATCACAGGATAATGATCCACTGAGGGACCTGAGCAGCACGATCTGTCCAGTCTGTGAACGTGCTGATGGTTTAGAAGGCGAGGAAGATGGGTTTAAGCAAAGACAGCATAAGTAATGATACTTAAAAATACTGGATTCGATAAGAGGAATATTTATCTCTTTCTTTTTCTCCCTGTTTGTTTCTCTGAAGACATAACAGTAACACAGGACGCTGGTTAACTAGGTTCAGAGCAATATGGGACCCCAAACAGGAAGACTGCTTCGTGGTGGGCAGCATGGCACGTCCAAGACAAATAGAAGTCTTCCAAGATACTGGAAAATTGTTGCACTCTTTTTATAACCTTGACTGCCTTGGTTCCGTGTGTTCCATTAATGTTGTTCATCCCAGTAAGAACATCCTAGTGGGCGGCAACTCCAGTGGCCGCCTTCATGTGTTCAAAGAATAAAAAAAAGCGGCTCAATTATTTTTTTTTTTTCCCCTTTTTGCATTAAATTTGTTTAATCTATATTAAGCAGTGCCTAAGCTAACTGTATTTTCTCAGGTCAAAAGTGTCTTCTAAAAGCTTTAAAATAAATCTTCTAAACTACCTTTGGCATTCCCTTCTTTAAAAAAAAAAGAAAAAAATTATTCCTGCTATGACAGTCAGTTTATACCAAAACGGATAGTTATTCCCAATACTGAAGTAACTTTTCAAAAAAAAGAAAAAAATGTTGGCTCAGTAGGATACGTGCTATGTGTAGGAGGCACTTAATGATTGTCATTAGTGACTGTGGAGCAGCCGTTCTCTGCGGCTCCCGCACTGTTCCCACCCTGGGCAGACCTTGGAGCAGCCCTCCAGTCCCTAAAGGGGCTGACAAGAAAGCTGGGGAGGGGCTTTTGACAAGGGCGTGGAGTGATGGGACATGGGCCAAGGGCTTTAAACGGGAAGAGGGAAGATTTAGATGAGATACAAGGAAGAAATTCTTCCCGGTGAGGGTGGTGAGGCAGCGGCAGAGGGTGCCCAGAGAAGCTGTGGCTGCCCCATCCCTGGGAGTGTTCAAGGCCAGGTTGGATGGGGCTGTGAGCGACCTGGTCTGGTGGAAGGTGTCCCTGCCCAGGGCAGGGGGGTTGGGACTAAAAACGTTTTAATTCCCCTCCCAGCCGTATGATTCTGTGACACCAGACGCACTGTTAAAGATGAGGTACCGGTGAGGGGTTACTGCGTTTATCAGCCTGTGTTTGCTGCACGCCAGTGTTGAGGGCTGGGTCCTGCAGCAACCTGCTGTGGCACAGTCGCGGTAAGACCGCGGTTTTGCAGCGAGTGCCGTGACCGCTGTGGTTTGCTTGTGCTCTGTGGCAGGCTGTTCGGGGTAGCAAACCCCAGCGCACCCGATTCGGTTCGGCACCACTGGCTCAGTGCTCCCCGCTGATGCCCTGACGGCTACAACGGGGCTCCCCTCGTGTC